GTAATGTGCTATCAGGACAGCTGCATAAATAATTAAGCACAATATATGCGAAGGAAATTTAGTTTTACTGTCAGCATTTTCCTTTGGAGTCAGTTGAACCAAAGAGACTTAGTCATGTGGCAGAAGTAATCTGCTACTTGCGGATAGGTCTGATTCCAAATATTCTTATCTGAAACACTGACAGTAGGTAGAGTCCAGATCATTAGTAAGACACCTAAATATATGTGTTGGTTTGTAAGTGCAAGTGTATGTCTAAGTTCTCATTATAGGCTTTGCTAACTAGGGGATGATTTGTCTCATCGTGAGGTAGAAACCAGTGGCTGCTCCCATGGTTATTCACTAATCAGTCCATCTACTGTGGCCTAGATCTTTGTATCCTGTAGTAGGAGTTTGCTTTAAGGTAGGCACATACATTATAAGGGTGTGTTAATCTCATGCTAAGGTCCGACCCTGTAAATCAAAGCCTGTGTTTATGTATTCTAGCAGAAGTTTTGTTACTAGATTAAGTACTGTTGACAGAAGCTGCCTTTTTTGTAGTATTTTTCCACGTGTGTTTAGAGAGTTTATGGGTGGGGTTTGGAGAGATGGAAGAAAATATTGCATGTAATAAGGCCTGATTTCCTACATAGTTGCATCTCTTTATCTCTATTACTTTTCTCCGTGATGACTCATATGAAGCTTCCACGGGTCAAGTTTGTGGTTCTGTCTTCTCCTTAAGTTTTGTAGAGCTGCGACACAAACTGGGCCCTCTCCGCCAGCTGACTGGGCTGGTAGGAGTCTCATCTCTTGAGACCTCTGCCCATTAAATGTGTTTGGAAATTGATAGGCCATCTGAATATATTTCTAGGGGAAATGTGGGCAATTCATGCCAAAGATAGATGCCTGTAATGAAAATACTGTTCTTCCAAGCTTCATTTATGAAGAGGGAAGGAGATCCAGAGGTATTTTTGGGTATTATTGATTTCATCTTAAAACAGGTCCGGGTAGTATCTTAGGAGTATATCCACTGTCTTTTCTCTGCTTTTGTCTCCAGTCCATTTCTATTACTAAAAGCTAAAAAGTTACAAATTAAAAACTCAACAATAAATAAACAAAAATCCCTCAGATATTACGTAGCGTTAGTACTAGGAAACGTTTTGCGATTGCCTCAGATAGGCGGTTTTTCAGAAAACCTTTTCTTCTCTGTACTACAACATTGTCATATTAGAAATCAGAAGTTAAGTTAAAAACTGAACCAAAGCTACTACCAGAGTCTATGTGAACTTTGAAAGCCTACCACTCCAATCCAACATGTGTTGCTGAGCTTCCTTTTTTCATTGCTTAGTTTATGACCTTATGTTGCAAATGGTACTTGTGAATGAAGAGTTGTCAGTGGGATTTCCATGTGGAGTTGTTCAGTGAAATAAAACTTTAGAACTGATTTAATTGGTTCATGATCAGAAATTTTGTATAAAACCTACTTTCTTGGGTAAGGACTTGTTACTTTTGCTTCTTAGCTTGTAAACACCTCAGAAAAGGGATAACAAGCTAAAGGTTTACTTTGGTTCTTGATATAACTGGGTTTCTCCATCAGAGCTGTTCTTGACTTCTTTCAGCTTCAAATGATGAAGAAATAAAAGCAGGAATAATGCATTGCAAAATATACCTTATTATAGTTTGACAATATTCGCTTCAATTACTTATGTTCTAGTCACTGAAAGTTAAAGACAATAATGTGGGGAATAATGAAGTAGTAAAGATGTGTCCTTTGGCATTAAATGAACTTTTTCAAGGGGTGAAGTAGGGAGGTGGGGGAAGAAAGCTTCGTCCAGAGAATTGTGCTCTAATCGAAAGCATTAAACATCACTTCTCCCTTCCAGAAGCATTTTCTGTTTGCATTATACTAGATTTTTTCTCAAGGTACTATTGTTAGTTCAGACCAAGCATTATCTGTCTCTCCTGCATTGCCTGTTGTCTTAACTTCATGTGACATCTCCATTCGGATCTGTTCCTTTCAAGTTGTGCAGCACTGAGAATCTTCTAGTGACTATTTGTGAAGGTATTGCCCCCCTTATGGTCCTGCAAATTTTGTAGATCTTAGGCTTCAGTTTACATGCCTAAATCTTCACAAGCTGATTAGGAAATAGGATTTGCATCCTTGTACTCAAAAATGAATGGTCCTTTTTCACTGAGCAAAAACATGTGAAAGGCTTAATGTTGTCCTTAACTAGATCCTTTTGACGTTTTAAAGGTCATGGTGGTATACAACAATATTCAGTTTTATTGTAATGTTATTTTTTTGTTGCATCTTATTTGATTAAATTCTTATTTTGTTTTAATTATTTATCCTAATTCCATGTGTTGATGGATTGCTGCTATATAAGCTATACGGAAAACGGTGGCTTTTGAACTCAGGAAAGATCATCGTCCTAAATAACATTAAAGGTGATGTGGTGGTTTGACCCTGGCTGGATGCCAGGGGCCCACCAAAGCCGCTCTATCACTCCCCTCTTTAACCAGACAGGAGAGAGAAGAGTAGATCAAAAGGCTCGTGGGTCGAGATAAGGACAGGGAGAGATCATTCGCCAGTTACCATCACGGGCAAAACAGACTCAACTGGATGAAATTAATTTAATTTATTACCAAGCAAAATCAGAGAAGGAGAGGATAAAAACTGCTGAATCTTAAAACACCTTCCCCCCACCCCTCCCTTCTTCCTGGGCTCAACTTCACTCCCAGTTTCTCTACCTACTCCCCCCAGCGGCACAGGGGGATGGGAATGGAGGTTGGGGTCAGTTCATCACATGTTGTCTCTGTCGCTTCTTCTTCCTCGGGAGAGGACTCTTCCCCTGCTCCAGCGTGGGGTCCCTCCCACGGCAGACAGTCCTCCACAAACTTCTAAAACGTGAGTCCTTCCCATGGGCTGCAGTTCCTCATGAACTGCTCCAGCGTGGGTCCATCCCACCCACAGGGTGCAGTCCCTCAGGAGCAGACTGCTCCAGTGTGGGTCCCCTGCGGGGTCACAGGTTCTGCCACCAAACCTGCCTTGGCGTGGGCTCCTCCCCCACGGGTCCACAAAGTCTTGCCAGGAACCTGATCTGGCGCAGGCTTCCCACAGGGTCACAGCCTCCTCCCTTTGGGCATCCACCTGCTCTGGTGTGGGGTCCTCCCCAGGCTACAGGTGGAGATCTGCTCCACCATGGACCTCCATGGGCTGCAAGGGGACAGTCTGCCTCACCATGGGCTGCACCAGGGGCTGCATGGGAATCTCCTCTCCAGCACCCGGAGCACCTTCTCCCCCTCCTTCTTCACTGACCTTGGTGTTTGCAGGGCTGTTTTCTCTCTCATCCTCTCTCTTCTCTCTCCGACTACTGAGCCACAGCCATTTTTTTTTCCCTCCTTAAATATGTTATCCCAGAGGTGTTTCCACTGCCACTGATTGGCTTGGCCTTGGCCAGTGGCGGACACAGGGAAGACGTCTGGCAGCTTCTCAGAGAAGCCACTCCTGTAGCCCCCCCACTACCAAGACCTTGCCACACAAACCACACAAATACTGCTGCACTTTTGTCTGTTAATTTTAAGCTGAGGCTTAGTAAAACGTTTTCCTGCAGTGGCAGCGTGTGAAGTCCATGAGTTCCTTTTGAGAACTGCTGGCCTATCATCCCGTGGGTTTTTTGCTTACTATATAATGTAACATATTTCAGTTAACTTTCAGGGTATACTAGGTACAGGTACGAAAAGACTCATCTAAAAGATTAATCTTTAGTGTGTGTGACTTGAGTTACAATTTAATTAAACTGGGAACAGTTAAGTTGGGCAGCCTTTCCCATTATGGATGGTCATGTGTTGAACAAAGAATGCATAGTCATTCCTGTAATAATTTAACCCAGTTTTTCAATTCAGTTTAAGCCATATCTGTTGCTTCAAAAGCCTGAAATATTTTGTAGAGCTTAAATAGTCCTTGAAGTTGATACAGACACCTTTGTGGACTTACCAAGCACTGGTCTCTGTTCCAAGTGATTTGTATGTGTGACCGTGCTCCACCAAGGGCAGGCTTCTGACTTTTCGTTTGGTCACTGCACCGGTAGTTGTAACTGGTAACAGGTTATTTTGGCAGATGCTTGTGTATGTCGTAGTTCATCTTGATGACCGTATAATTCATAAGTAGTCACTTGAAGTAGCTTTTTTGTTGAAGGAAAGATATGGGAGTTTGGTCAGTCAGCCAGTTCCAAAGTGATAGCCTAATAGTGATTTTACATATGATAAATACATGGACTGATGAACATGCCTTGTTCATTTGGCAGCGTATTGCTTTATTTCCCATCACTGCATTCAGATAACCAAATCATTTAAGAAAAGTTATGAAGGTGAGCATAAATATTTGCCTGAATTGATCAAATCTTAATTAGCTTTAACTGACAAAGACTCCTCCTTTAATCCTTTGAAAATTTCTAGAGAAGTTATGCTGCACTTAAAATGAGGAGCTCACGTAGTGCTGGAAGGCAATCTAGTAATTAGCTTGTTCCTTTTTTGGGTTTTATTCTGGTGGTTGTTTTTTGAGGGGTGTTTTTGGTGGTTGTTTTTAAGCGATGCTGTGCTCCTATAGTTGAAGCACATAGAACTTGCGAAGATATTCATGCAGTAGTTCTGTCTGTTTGGTATTTTTTCTTTTGTTTGCCTTCAAATAGGTTTCAACTGAATCTTTTCAGTGCACAGTGTGAATAAGACATTTAAAATTATTTGCCGTTAAGGTAGAAAAGATCTTATTGTCCAGTTCATCACCGTACAGTTGTGACACAAACTGAAAGATGCTTTCTCTCATATAGTAGTAACACGTATCAGCTTCTACAACCTATTCAAACATCAAATATTCAATTGGGCCTCTGTTTACTGGAGATGACAGCTGTTTGGGGAGGGTTTGGGTTTTTTTACAATTATTCTGTGGGAAGGTATAATAACAAAAAACCAGCTATGTAAATATTTGCTGATCTGTTGTAACAGTATCTTACTCTGTCCAACAGCAAACATGAGGTCAGTGTCAGAAGAGCCTGTCCCATTACATGAAGAATTTATCTACTGTTGCGGAGCTGCTACCCATGTCTTAAAGTGTGGGCCCTGGAAAGACCTCTCAAAAGATGAAAGTAAAAATCTACCCAGGCTGTTATTCATGATTATTCCTGGTAAGGGTCTTTTTGTTGTTGTTGTTTTAAGTCTAGAAATGTGATGATTGGAATGGGTATATTAAATTTAAAAAATCTCACTAGATAAGTAGAAGAATTTGGCCCGTGCATGCGGCCAAAAAATCAATGGTGAAATTTCCTTGTTATATTTGAGTACTGTTATCTGTACACATAACAGTGCCGTAAGGTAAAATTGCAAAATTAGGATGTCTCACTCATTTACTCTGCGGTGGTGGTGGTTTGCTGACAGCATTGCATGTGTGGTTTTTTTCCCCTGTTGCTCTCTTTCCGTTTATTTCTCGCACATTGAAGTGGTACTGCAATGTCAGCTCTGTGCTGACTGAGAGGTGAAAGTTAACAATATTGAAGGAAAATTCTGGATACAGTAGTTTTTCAAAGCTGGGGTTTTTGTAGTAAATGTTTTTTAATTTAGATTTTTGCACATTAATTTTTATGATAAGCCTCTTGAACTCAGTGAGTGTTGTATAGTTCCAAGTTTTATTTAAATCTGGTCATCTTAAAATGAAAGCTCTAAGCTTTCATTTAGCATATGCTAAAATTAATGGAGAAGTCCTAAATTCATTGAAGGCTGCCCAAGGGTTGTCAGGCCCTGGAATGGGCTGCCCAGGGAGGTGGTTGAGTCCTCCTCCCTGGAGGTATTTAAAAGGATAGATGAGGTGCTTAGGGACATGGTTTAGTGGTGGGATGGCAGGGTTAGGTTAAAGGTTGGACTCGATGATCTCAAAGGTCTTTTCCAACCAAAGCGATTCTATGATTCTATGATTCTAATGACCTGTAGGAGTTCTGTCATTAGCAAAAGCGTAGAGCTTGAGCCTGCTCAAGCACAGATACTGTGATTCTTTCACTCCCTTAGGGTTTGCAGATTTCTAATATTTCCTTTAGTTTACTTGAATGTTTTGGATACTATTGTTACTTCCCCAAAATCAGTGGTGTGAATAATGACTCTGCTGATTATTCAGATTTTTGGCTTACTGTTCCTGTTAAAGTATGCTCTGTTGCTGTTTATGGGCCAGTGTGTGGCTTGGTCCTTACTTAGTGGTGAAAGAGAGCACAGATTCCATTTTTCAGGTTTTTTGCAAGGTTTTGGAAGCCTCATGGAATATTTTATGTTAGTTTCTTTGGGCACAGTGATTTTATGCCCTTGCCTCCTGGAGCTGAGTAGTAGTGTAACTTTTAAGCCAGTGACAGTGAAGTTTAAGTTGTTTCGTGAACTGAAAAGAAGGAATAAGCCGCCTATTATTACATCTTGCTACTCTTTCATGGGAACAATTTTTTAAGCCAGATTCTGTACAGTGTAACTTTTCAGTAAAAGACTATCTGTATGGATCCAAATCGTCAAACAGTTTTCTGGAGGTACAAACCTGATTAGATGCTTTCCAGTTGCTGCTTTCTTCCAGCTAAAGCATTTCTGGAAGGCTTAAATGAAAAGCTAAGTGTTTCTTTTCCCCGCAAGTTCTGGAGCTTTCACCTGTCTTCAGACTGTGATACCCTTGTGTTTGGGTTGGCAGTAGGACCTGTAACTAGGGTAAATCTGTAAAGCCGACTTAAATCGGTAGGAAGATTTGTAGGGGAAGAGCACAAAAGTCAGACATTAGCATCCAAGGTAAGGTAACTCTGCTAGGAAAGCAAGTTATTCTGCTCAAAATATACCAAGTCACGCAGACTTCATGGGCTCTATATTCATCACAGGAAACCTTTATTCAAGAAAATGTAGTGGCAGGGCTACATGGAGCTTATTTCCTGCAGAACAGTTCTGTGGAGATGCCTTAATAACAACATCCTACATGAACTAGATAGGTATCCAGAAATAGACATCAGTGAAATATTCGGAGTGCTTTTGTCACGGTCTGCAAGCTTTTGCAAGCAGCTGATTTATGGTCTTGCTCTTATTTCAGAATTATGTTGATAACAAACTGGAAGTTCTCTCACTGAGAAAACAATTAAAAAACACTGTAACCACAGTAATGCTATCTTTATTTTAGATACCCAAATACAGTAGTGAATCAAGTTACCCAAGCTCCTTGCTGTGGCTGGCAGGGAGCTGACTAGGACCTGGCATAACATAATGCAGTTTTGCTTCTCGTAAATCAAATGTTTTTTTCCTGCTGTATATACCTCATTTTTCAAGGGAAATTCTGTCTGCCAACACAAAAATACAGCCTTAGGAGAGACCCGGACACTTGGGTCATCTGGCAACGTGTTTGTGTACCTAAACAGGATTAGATAGCATTCCCCTCATGCTTTTGTAACTTCCGAGTATGAAATGCAGAGCCTCTGGAGTCCAGCAGTTTTCACACTTGAAAGGCATGTATCCCTACTTGAGATTCTTCATGGAATGAAATAGAGAGGGGCAAAATCATAGCTTGGTAAAGGTTGAGGAAAGAATTACCCAGACAAGGGCAACTCTCACTCCAAAAGGAGAGCATGCACAGCCCCGTGTTCCGTGATCTGACCCAAGCATGGTCAGTCCTCCTGCATGTGGTACGTTGTTCTGTGGATTAAACTGCTCCGGCGCATACTTTTCCAGTCTTAATGAAACTCATGCATGTTTATATGTACTCAAACAAAATGGGGTTGGTGGGTGCATATAGAAGAGAAAGATGATAAAATTCTCGGCTTCTCCTAGAATGTAATTGTTGCAAGAGTCTTCAGAATAGATCCTATGTACTTATTTTCTTTTTTGTTTTTTAGTCAAATTTCTTTTTCATTCTTCTTCATTTCATAATGGGGAGGATTTCTCTCTAGTCTCTCTGATTTTTTTTTTTTTTTTTTTTTAAATGAAAAGGATGACTTGGAGGAGTATATCAATCTCAATGAAATCTCCTTGATCGGGCTGAGGAGGGAGGGAGTGCCCCACCCCAGACTGACGGGGCACTTCTCTAGCCATGGGGTGCAAGGGAGGCTCATACTTGGTCCCAGCTACTTGTCCTGATTTGAGGGGAAGAGGAGGGAAGGAAAGGGTGCTGCTGTTCTCTGAGAGAAAATTTGAATGCTTGCAGGAAGGAGGATTGCTCGAGATCTCGGAAAGTACTTTCTCTTATCTCCAGATGACACTGTAATAACCTTAGCAATGGTGACTGTGAGCTGGAAGGAGTAGTGTTAGGCCTGAAGGAAGTAGTCAGCTATCCAGATGGTTAATAAAGGGGGAGGAAGGTGACTCCAAAACTTCCTTCTACTCTGAAACCAATGGCAAAATTCCCATTGACTTTAAATGAGGCAGGATTCTGCCTCCTGAGGACCGATAGCTCACTGTGCTTGAAGCAGTTGGAATACAGAATGTGCAGTGGAATTCAATCTCATTTAATTGCAACAAGCTAATGTTTTTAGTGATGGCAGTCTGTGTAAACTTATCATTTGAATAAAGTTTTACTATATTAATTGAAATGTTTAATGTGCACTTTTTTGTTCCGTAACATTTTTTTCCTTGTGTAAGCAAAACCTCTGTATAGGAGTAATAATGTTTACTGAAGTAATTACTGTGTAAAAGGCCCAATTTTTCCTCAGTCCAGAATATATGCGTATACTTGTTTGCTTTTCTTAGTATGAATTCTTTTCTATTAAAATCAATGAGATTTACTCATAAGAGTAAAATTAAATGTGTACTGTTGAAGGATCAGGTCCATGGTTTTCTGGAAATGTAGGCGTTACGGAAAGGACAGGAATTACTTTTTTTCTCTTGTGTCATAAAGGTCTACTTTCCCTTTTGCAGTGTTTGTTTAGTGTAAAATTAGCAGTGAAGTATAAAATCTACTATAGCAATATTTAACATTGCTTGGGTTCATTGGAAACCAGGATCCACAAAGTGTAATGGAATTTTTTTACTGTTTTAGGAGTATCTGTCTATTTGTGTCTGTGTATTTATGAAACATTTAACTTTGCAAATAAATACAGTACAAACTTTAAAACCACCATGTTGTTTAGCTCATGAAGTTTTGCTGTTCATCAAGTTTTTCTTGCATCTCATTGTAGGAACATACTGCAATACCTTCGTTCCAGGCTTCATAATTTATGTTACCGTTGCTGTAAATGATGCAGTTTTGTTATTTGCAATCTTGTACTCAGGAGCGTTAGTTCATGGTTGATAATGTATCATGTAAATAACATTTTATGTGGTAAAGCGTGCTACACGAGTTTCATTAATACACAGAAACCATTTCGGAATTCGGTTCTTTGTCATGCATGCAGAGTGCTCCCTACGCTTGCCAAGTTTCTTGATCTGCCTGCTTGCAGTTGGATTGCTGCGGGGTTATTGGATCATCTTATTGTTTTACCAACTCATGCAGTGACTTGGTGATGTTTAAGGCCTATGAGGACTTAACCAGACACTTTTTTTTTTTTGAAAGTATAAACATTTAATATCCTGAGTTTATCCTCTGAATCAAGAGTTGCTTATGGTTTTCTGTGCAACAGAAAGTGGGGGCTTGGATTCTGTTTTTTTCCCAGGGGTAGTTACATGTACTTACTTCAACAAGACTGTTGTTGCTTGAACACTACTTAACTATTTTTCAGCAGTGAAAATAATGCAGACAATTTGCCAGAATTATGACAGATCTTTAATGTGTTCTCCCTTGGAATGAGACTTCCTGTTAGCTTTAAAATCTTTGAAGTTCTCTTTTTGACTGTAAAGACTCTGAAAAGCATTCAATACATTATCTGGCTTTGTCTTCACCTGCTGTTTTGATATTTAACAATCATCACCCTCAATATTTGCATAAGAAAAATTACATTAAGTTTCATTATATAATCATATTTTGCACTAAAACAAATTGTATAGCTCTGAAGCTTAGTTCCTTTGTATTTTGTTTTTTTTTGGCTCCCACTAAAACATTTTCTTTTTTAGTTGTTAATCATTCCCTCTGCTCAGCAATCACTGGAATGAATAATTCTTCAGAAGTCTACTGTCACCACCAAGACCAAGGGGTTTGCTTAATAATAAAAGAATCTAGTTCCTCATTCTACAAACCATGTAAAGCATGTTT